GCCACAGGCTCAGAGGAGGCCGAAGGCAACATCGAGCCGAGATCAGCGATGCCCAAGCGAACCCCTTGATTCATGATGATTCATGCATGCCTCTATCTCTGCGTTCTCCTGCGGAGAGATGAGTGGAGGCAGCTGATGTGTACGCTGAGACTGCGGGCGCCGTTTCGGCAGAGGGCGCAAGTACTCCACTCCGCCCAATACCATAACCACATCGTCCGTTCCCTCGGAGGCTGTAGCAGCAGAGTCTGTGACTGTGACCGGCGAAGCTCGCGGCGGGGGTACTGCAGATGCAGCAACGCTCATTTTGGGCCCAAGCGCACCGGCAGGCCAGGTGCGAGCCACAGAAGCCACCTGAGGTCCACCATGTACGCGCGCAGAACCAGTGCACTCAGCAGCCGCCCTAGCAGGAGCAGAGTCCTCGGCCCTAGCAGATACTCCGGTTGCCCGCGGAACCATCCACTTAGAAGCCACACCGCGGTAGCTAGTCTGCGTCGGCGTGGCGTAGTCCCTACCCATCAGAGAAGCTAAAGCCAAGAACTCATCAGGAGGCAATTCACGGCGAAGTGCCTCGGGCGAGAAGTCAGCTCTCTGATCACGCCCCCCAGTCGACATGATCGAGGAGGCTGAACCACCAGACACAGGAGCCTCCTCCTCATCACTCACCTCCACAGGCGCTCTGGCCGGAGTGTGCGCTGGCAAATCGGCCGGTCGAGCATACAAGGTGATAGGGCGAGGAGCCGGTGCAGGCCTGGAGCTAGCAGCTGGCTCTACGTCTGACGATGCCAGATCCAGATCCAGATCCACGTCTGAAGAATCAGATCTCATTGCAGCCGTACGGCGAGACTTCGGTGGCCGAGCTCGCTCACGTTCAAAGTCGCGGCCTCTCTTATTCCTGTTTTTGCCTCCACGGCGACCGCGAGGGCGCGGCATGGTGTGAACACACAGCGCAGCAGGCCCTAGATGCGGGGTTCCTGAATGCCCGAAGGTTGGGGCTGATGTGTTGTTCCACAGGTGGGACGTAACGGGAGCCCGGGGACTAAATTCCTGGCCTAGTGTTATCGACCTAAACAGGCCTGTACAAGGTGTCCCAGTCAAGCCTGCGTGCCTGCATTGCCAAAAGGGCTGCAGAAAGTTGCGTGGCGCGGTTCCACACAAAAGGTGCAGGGGCTGGTAATGACAGCGTGGCAGCATCGCCGTCAAGCTCCATGTCCGAAATCTTAACTGCTGAAGCGGAACCCAATCCCAGGTGCCCCGAAGCTTATGAACCCACCAGACACTGCGGGCTCCTGAATAGGCCAGCATGCATAGGGGATCGGCGCAGGGCCGCGTCTGCAGTCGTACCTGCCAGCTGGAGGCATAGTTGGGAGGGAGAAGGCTTATGCTAGGCCAACGGTGGGGGAGGTCGCACAGAGCAGGCGGAGAGCTGAAGATGCACAGGCCATGGCATACTGTGCTGTCGGCGAAGGGACCCATGGGCGCACGGCTGCAGGCGGAGGTGGACCCCCAGCACCGCGCCGGCTGACACTCCACGCACACCTGAGGCTTGCCAAGGGTTGTACCTGGGCTATCAGTCCATGGCTTCCAAGTCCAGCGAGGCACATCCTGTCGCATGCGTTTGCGCAGCGGAGCGAAACACACCTGAGTCATCCTTAGCCTTAGCATTATGAGAGAAGGGCGATGCGGGAGCTCCGGTTCCTGTAGTGCTGTGGGATCCTGAAGCATCCACTTGGGGTGTGAGTTTCCCAGAGACCAAGGCTCGGGCGGCACGCCTGGCATCCGCTTGAGACGGTTCCCCAGTGCAGGACGCTGCGACACCAGAGCTTCCGAATCGCAATCCCCGCAGCTTAATGGTGCAGGCCAGCGGCGGGGGATCAGCTCCTCCACATTTACCCTCCAGACCAGTGTCCAACCAACGACGCGCTGATGGGAGCTGACAGCTTGAAGAAGAGACACCAGAATGCAGGACAGTGTCCATGGCCCCATATGCATGCAACGCAGCCCTGAACAGAGGCAAAGGGGAACCCAGGAACACCGAACGCCCTGAAAGGGTCGAGGACACACACCTACTCCCGGGCACACAACACGGCTTGGGCCCAGACGCTTGGTGGTGGTGGTGGTGGTGGTGGTGGTGGTGGGTGGTGGGTGGTGGTGGTGGTGGTGGTGGTGGTGGCGGCAGTAGTGATGGTAGTGGTATAGTGGTATAGTGGTATAGTGGTATAGTGGTATAGTGGTATGGTGGTATGGTGGTATAGTGGTATAGTGGTATAGTTGTATAGTGGTATAGTGGTATAGTGGTATAGTGGTATAGTGGTATAGTGGTATAGTGGTATAATGGTATAGCGGTATAGTGGTATGTACGTAGGACCTTTATGTACTATTTGAGGTTCTCTTTCCCTTCTAATAGTTTATTACGGCAGTGAAAAAACTTGGCATTTGGAAGGTCTTTTAAAAACATAAAAAGCCTTTTAATTTTACAAACGGCCTTTCAAAAACTCAAAAAGGCTTTCTAAATTTATAAACGGCCCTTCAAGTCTTTAAGATTTTGCTAGGCCTGTGTCTGATTTTCAAAATGTTAAAGAATTTCAACATGTTAAAGAATTTAAGGGCCTCTTAAAATTTTAAAAGGGCTTTTGAAAATTGAAAAGACCCTTTAAAAATTTACATGGCCCTTTAAAATTCTATAAGGCCCCTTAACATCTTTCAAATCTTTGAAAACCCGTAAAGTTTTGAAAAGAAATGTAAAAAAATATTGGTGCTGTGCGCGGCCCATTTAAAACTTATAGAAATCCTTAAAATTTTGAGAACCAGACACAGGTCTTTCAAATTTTAAAGGAGTTAAGGGCCCTTTTAAAGCTTTAAAAGGCTTTTTGATTTTTTCACTTCCTTTCAAAGATTTAAAAGGCCGTTAAAATTTAAAAAGCCCCTAAATTCTTCAAAATTTTGGAAGTCCTGTGTTTGGATTTCAAGATTTTAAGGAAGTGAAAGAGCCTTTCAAAATTTTCAAAAGACCGTTTAAAATTCTAAATGGCCCTCTAAAATTTAAAATGGCCCTTTAACGTAAAATTTTGAAAGCCAGACACAGGCCGTCAAAATGTTAAGGATTTTAAGGGTTTTTAAAATTTACATGGGCCGTGCATAGCCCCAAACATTTAATGTTCACGGTTCTGCAATATTTCAAAGAATTTGAAGCCTTTTAAAGTCTTAAATCGGCTTTTACAATTTTAAAAGACCCTTTAAAATTTTACATGGCCCTTTAAAAGTTTATAGGCTCCTTAAGTTCTTTCAAATCCTGCAAAATCCATGAAAGATTGAAAAAATGTAAAATATATTGGTGCCGGGCGCGGCCCATTGACATTTTTAGAAATCCTGAAAATCCTTAAAATTTTGAAAACCAGACACAGGCCTTTCAAAATTTTAAAGGAGTTACGGGCCCTTTTAAACGACCTTGTAAACTTTAAAAGGCCTTTTCAAAATTTCAAAGGCCGTATATAATAATTACAATAATAACAATAGTCGAATAGATATGTAATTAAGCATAACGTTCAAAGGTAAAAACAACAACTTAGAACGTGATTACAAACAAGAATAGTAATAACAAAGTTTCAAACAGATATAAAAATATTTCAACAACCATATATTCTATAAAAGAATAAATATAGATGTAGTTTTCATGTGCGGACACACAAGAAAAGCACATGCTCTTCTTTGTCGGGCATTTGGAGGAGTACGTAGCTTGCCTTGCACTTGGGCTGGCGCTTTTGAGAAATGCGATCACAGGTTGGGCTTGCAAACTTATGGTACGCTGAGTGCATTGTGCACGAGTTAAAGACGAAGCATCCAAATGTAATCGTCAAGATGCCATCAACTGGTGGCTCAAGCATAAACGACAAGATCGCAGAACAAAGTTGACGCTTTTCGGTAAACTCGGATAGGCGATTCGATACACGAGTGGCACAAGCATTGCTGCAGATTCACGAAACCTTGAGTCGACGAGGTCTTGAGGCATTCTCTTGCAGCATTGACCGGTGATTCTCTGCATGACTCGTGAAGGCCACAGATAGACGTTTCCTGTGACCTTGCGGTTCGTCTCGTGTGGGCTTTCCAGATCTGAGGATGACGTTTAAAAGGGCCGACAGCTGCCCAGCACTGGCGACGGCAAGTTTTTGTGGGTCAAGTCTAGTGACTAGTGCTGCGGGGCGTGTCAGTCGGAAAGCTGAATCGTGTGTCTGGCAAGCGTATGCAGGCTTTGCTTTGCCGATTCCACGTTTGGTGTCCCGGACCCTAATTTGTGGAATTATCACTGCGTGGACAACGTGCGGGTGCACAAGTCTGGCTGCATGCAGTTTTGACGTCGAAGCGAAAGAGGCGCGCAAGCACCTGGGTACGAGAGGTACTGTTAAAACTATAATTATGATACGGTGGCCTTTCCGATTTCTCCTACGTGCCAATGGCTTGCACGTTCAGCCACTGTACCTTCGAGTCGAGTCACGGAATGGGCACGCCTGCCGCGTGCGGACAGACAAAACATGGGGCAGTTCGACTCGCACGTGTCTTACACCCGAATTTGCCAAGTTTACCTGGATGGTCCGGATCCTTAGGTTTAGGCCTTTGGTGTTGCAGCTTTCGTGAATCCAGATCCAGGCCTTGCGAAACTCGTGTTGAACCTTCGACCCTTTCTGGCCTTGCCCTGGCGAACGGCTTTCCCGGTTCCTTTCGAAGTCCAAGAGTGTCCAATCTTCCCGCTTTGTATCGGAGCGAGCTGGAGGGGGCCGGTAGGCGGTTTGGCAGCAGAGGAAGGGGCATTTTCAGTGTGTCTTTTTGCAGGGACAAAGATTCCCCACTTACGACGTAGAACCCAGCCGTGAAGTAACTACTGTATCGTCACATGGGAATCTTCCGTCTAGACTGCCTAGATTTCTATGGTCCGTTGCAGTTCTTGCTTGCCTGCTCTTTTTACGTAACAGAAACTGTTGAGCGTTGCGCATTCCATGTCCAGCTAGGAGCCTTGGTTCCTGGCTACATCCATAGCAGCGGCGGCGCTGGGTGTGGGTGGCCGCCATCTAGGAGGCAGAGCGTTTCCAAAGTGAAGGCTCGGAAGGCACAAGCACGGCCGCCAGCTTGTTGGAGTTCCTCTGAGTCGAAAGCTTTTGTTCCGTTTTGCCCTTAACTTTCGAAGTCCTGACATGCTGCCCAAAATCAAGCAATTACCGATCTTGAACCATACATCTGAATGTACAGAACCTAGGATCGTCTCCCGGCGTCGATAGTTCTCCGTAACCTGGTGTTCGCAGGGGGATGACTACTACCCCCCGCCTTCAACAGGGTGAGGGACCAGCAGCAGGAGCAGGAGCAGGAGCAGGAGCCGCAGAAGCAGCAGGAGTCGGAGAAGTAGCAGTAGCAGTAGCAGTAGCAGTAGCAGTAGCAGTAGTCGTAGTAGTAGTAGTAGTAGTAGTAGTAGTAGTAGTAGTAGTAGTAGTAGTAGTAGTAGTAGTTGTTGTTGTAGTTGTAGTTGTAGTTGTAGTTGTAGTTGTAGTTGTAGTTGTAGTAGTAGTAGTAGTAGCAGTAGTAGTAGTAGTAGTCGTAGTAGTAGTCGTAGTAGTAGTCGTAGTAGTAGTAGTAGTAGTAGTAGTAGTAGTTGTTGTTGTTGTAGCCGCTATGGATCACAGCAGGCTGTGTAGCATTGCTAACAAGGCTCTGGGTACAAACGCTAGAGGCTCGCAACGGCCCCTTCTGCGAAGCTTAAGGGACTGTCCTCTTATTGAGCCATAGCTATTCCCGGAGCCGCGCGCCGCTGTGTTCTACCGGGTCCCAATTCCCGGGCCTCTGTCTGCAGTTATACAACCTTGGCAAGAGGTAAGCGGTAGGGTTCTCACCTTTCCGCGGGGTGAAGGGAGTCGGATCGAGTTCTCTCTTTCCGGCGAAACTAGCGGAAGGCGCGTCGACTGTGCCTCAGTGCTTTTCTCCTGCCGATGCTTTTACATTTACAAAAGGACCTGCCGCACCAAGCCATTCAAGGGGCGGCCCCAGTCATGGGTTGGCCATCTTCTGCACCTGGGTATCCTGAAGGAAGCTTTCGAGTTGAGGCCTCGTTCCGCTCCTCTCTTCGACTTTGCAGCTACACGACAAGACTCCCAGGTACAGCTCAAGGTCTTTCCTGCGCAGTTTTGCTGGCGCTCTGGTTTTGCGCTTTAACTGGTACACCTCCGCAAGAAGGACACGGATCGTCTGGTATTCTCATGCAGTCTTCTTCGAGCACTAGTTTTTCCTTCAACGGCACAGTGGACTGCCACCGGCTGCTACGAAGCCAGTGCGATCGAGAGTTCTTCGTCACGGTTGAGTGTTTTCTGCGCTTCACTTCTGTTCAGCCGCCAGCGCCTGGGAGCAAGTCAGACTCAGGACAGGCTAGGCGCAACGTGGTGACTCACAACGCGTCAGCATCCTCCCAATGCTGGCCCCGACGGGCATTCCAGGGACTCCTCTTGCTATGGGGTGCCCTTGTGGGCCTAGAGGGGCTATCCTCTCTGGAGGGGGAGGCCTCTCGGGGGCCGCCGGGCCAGACTTGTCTACAAGACAAGGCGCAGATTGGGACACTGGGGACTCAGGTTCAGCAGAGTTGGCCAACGTCTTCAGTTCCAGCACGGTGTCTACCTGGTACGGCTCCACGTCACATCTGGGTACAGTCGTTAAGCGGACGCGCTTGCTGTGCTATGGGTGTCGGGCTACGGCTACGGCCCTCCCAGGTGTGTTCGTTACTGTCCTGTTACCGACGGGGTCAGGCAGTGCTAGGAGTGACGGCCCACGTGTTTTTGCTTGACGACGAATTATCCTTACGGCCCATCGCTGGTAGTCGGGAGTTACCTAGTGTGGGACGCCACTAGACGGGAACTCTGGGAGACGGCTCTTCTGAGTACGACCCACCGGCTGCCAGTTCGTGAGTATTGGACGCAATGACTCACACTGAGGGTGACGGAGGCTACATGACGACGACTTTGTGAGTCGGGCTGTCACGTTAGGAGTTTCGGGCATCGCTCGCGTAAAAAACGGGCAACGCCTTTGTAACTGAAGTCAACTTCTTGTGGCCTATCCCCTAGAGGCTGGTGCCCAAGAGCTGTTGCTGCTGTGTACAGTCTGCAGCGCTGCTCTTCTTGACTTAGGCCCTTTCTCTTTTAACGTTTGTAGCATCGGCTCCTCTTTTTCCTTCACTGAGGATCCTATAGGGGTTGCGCGGTCTTCTCTGTTGGTTTTGTTAGGTCAGTTCGTTTTGGCTTGTTTTACGCGAGGCCTCGGGGCCTGACTTCGGTCGTAGTTCTCAGAAACGGATGAAGGAGGTACCTGCGATTCTCGCATGGGCAGTCCCCTCGCGCAAAGCGCCAGTCTGTTTCTTTTTCTTTACAAGGCCGCCGGGCGAAGACCGCGTAACCTCTATAAGAATGTCGGCAGGTCAGATTCTAAGGGAGTGGTGCTGGCTTATGGCTCACCTCGGTGGCGCTGGCTCACGGCACACTCGGGGATGGCACGCTTCCGAAGTTTCTGCTCGCCCGCAATGAGCAGAGCCCGCTCGCTCAGCGTCCAATAATAATAATTGTTGTTGTTGTTGTTGTTGTTGTTGTTGTTGTTGTTGTTGTTGTTGTTGTTGTTGTTGTTGTTGTTGTTGTTGTTGTTGTTGTTGTTGTTGTTGTTGTTGTTGTTGTACTACTACTACTACTACTACTACTACTACTACTACTACTACTACTACTACTACTACTACTACTACTACTACTATTACTACTACCTACTACTACTACTACTATACGACTACTACTACTACTACTGCTACTACTACTACTGCTACTGTACTACTACTACTACTACTACTACTACTACTACTACTACTACTACTACTACTACTACTACTACTACTAACTACTACTACTCGACTACGACTACCACTACCACTGAACTACCACTACCACTACCACTACCACTACCACTACCACTACCACTACCACTGCCACTGCCACTGCCACTACCACTACCACTACCACTACCACTACCACTACCACTAGCACTACCACTACCACTACCACTACCACTACCACTACCACTACCACTACCACTACCACTACCACTACCACTACCACTACCACTACCACTACCACTACCACTACTCCTACTACCACCAACTACTACTACCACCACTACTAGTCCTGGTACTGGTACTGGTACTAGTACTGGTACTGGTGCCAGTACTAATACTAGTACCAGTACCAGTACCAGTACCAGTACTACTACTTCTACTACTACTACTACTACTACCTCTACTACTACTACTACTACTACTACTACTACTACTACCACTACTACTACTACTACTACTACTACTACTACTACTACTACTACTACTACTACTACTACTACTACTACTACCTACTGGTGCTGCTACCGCTGCTAGTACTGCTGCTGCTACTGCTACCACTACTAGTACTGCTACTACTAGTACAACTACTACTACTACTACTACTACTACTGCTACTGCTACTTCTCCGACTCCTGCTGCTTCTGCTGCTACTCCTCCTACTCCTACTCCTACTCCTACTCCTACTCCTACTCCTACTCCTACTCCTACTCCTACTCCTACTCCTACTCCTACTACCTCCCACCTACTACCTACTACCTACTACCTACTACTACAACAACAACAACTACCTACTACCTACAACAACAACAACTACTACTACTACTACTAGTGCTACTACTACTACTACTACTACTACTACTACTACTACTACTACTACTACTACTACTACTATGATGATCTGGAAGATCGTGCATGTTGGGATTTGCACCGTCCATCTCAGCTCAAGCTTCGTTCCAAATTTATCGGATGATCCCAGAAGAGGAATCCAGACAACTGAAACTGACCATGGCGCTCGAACGGAATGTTTTCTCACTTCACTCGACAAAGCTCTGAAAGTATGTTGAGAGGCTACGCCCTTCTATGCCTGTGATGGCTGTTCGGCCTTTGGCCAAGTTCACGACTCTAAAGTCTTCTATCATAGGGGCCTTGCACTCTCTCACTTGAAGAACCACAAGGGCTACGACAAGTCACTTCAAACGACGGAAACTACTCGGGAGGTGAGGGCAGACTCAGGCTTCAACACCCCTCCTTGGCATCGTCGCCAGACTACTGCCATCTCTGTGGAAAAAACAGACTGAGTCATCCAGTCCCGAACCTCCTGTTAAAGCAGAAAGCACAAAACCTTCTCGAACCAACGTTGGAGTTTCGGATGGCTGCACAGTCTCTGAAGAAATGGTAACTCCCACCTTTCCTAGTGCTGTACATTGCCTCTTGTCCTGTCAGACAAAAGACTCGGTCCCTTTCGGTTTGCGTGCAGCCGTCTTGCCTTTGTGGAAGCCACCTCTCTACTTGCCTCTGCAGCTCCTCGCTTACAACCTCTTCAACCCTGCTCCTGGTCCCAGCGCTCCTTGACCTAGGAGGAGGTGGAGGTGGTGAGGTAAGTAGAGGATGAGGGACGGTCATGCATGCCAACACGGACGGGAGCCGGTGGCAACGGTGGTGCGGGTGGTGCAGGGATGAATACCTGCGTGCTTGGATACGGCGCCTGATGACGAGCGAACTCACAATTATGGTCACAGGATTAGGGCTTACCTTAGGGAGGTTTACAGGGTCAGGTCTGCAAGTGACGCTGCTTGGCGGTAGAGGGCCTGAATTGACAGGATTCTGCAGTTGAAGCCTTAGCTGATTCTGCACTTCCTTACGTAGCCTTCTATTCTTCGCACATCTACCAACCTTTCTTGCAGCAAACTTAACAAGAAACTTTCCGACCTCCCAAGCAATCAACACTCCTAGGACACCACAGCCTATGATAACATATATGCTCAGGGGATTTTCAACCTCCAAAGGGGCTTTGTAAAAGTCTACTTCTCCACCTTTAGGGCACTGGGAGTCCTCGTCCAAGAACTTCTCTCCTTGGGCCTGCTCCAGTTGCAAAGCTATGGTTGCTAACACTATGAGTCGCATCAAGCAAGCTTGTTGATTTGTGGAGTCAATGGCCTTGCACTCT